TTTTATTGATAGTATGTAGTAGTAGTATGTGTTGCGAGTAGTATTTCGTCATCATCAGTCCGCTTCCATCCAGTGCTGAACATAGGTCTCTCCAACGTCACGCCACTGTCCTCGATCTTTAGTTCTACGCATAAAAACATAATTATACTTATATTTTGTAAATCTCACTACAATTTTACTGAGCGATGATATGAAGAGTGAATTATAATAGTGCAAAATATAGAGATGATGGCCAAAACTCTCATGGTAGTAATATTGTCAATAGCTCAGCAGTACAGTCTGTCGTGAGCTGCTGATGTTGCTATTTTCTCAATGGCTAAGTTCTAAATGTAATGCGTACCGAAGTTTGACAAGGATTCTAACTCAGTTATTCCAGTTATATTACCTAATCCTTTTCCGGACCTATCAATCGGAACTCGAAAAGTTAGATTGACAGAACTAGAAAACTAATTCTAATAATGAGTGAGGCAAGAATTAGACATTGACTATGTTTCTTTTTCCTTATTACTTTTAGTACGCCTTGCTGTAACTCCTAATACGGGATTTGTACCAAATATCATTTTTGTGTAATAAATGTAAATTCATAATTATGTTCGATTTTAAGAAGTGTCGTATTTCATTTAATATAAAAGTTTTCTCGTTTCATCTTTGTAACAAATCAAGTTGGTAATTAAGCAATAGCATTGTTATAAAAAAAAATATGTTCAAAAATAATATCAATTTGTCGATTTCTTTTTTTAGTAGGACTAAATTGTAAACTAGACTAATAATTTAGTTGGATAACTGAGGCATTAGCTAGGATTTTAATAAGCACAAAAGATACATGAGATTTATTTTTCTTTTTGAAAACAAGAAATAATAATTTGCCTATTGCTGTACATATTCGAGCTGAAGATCAAACTCTATACCTTATGCTTTAAAAAAGTAATCGAAGCTGTCAATTTAATCATCGTTAAAAACAAATTCCTTTTTTATTTTATTTATATCAAAGACATTTAAAAAAATGGGCTGTTTGAGTACGGTACTTTAAATAACCAAACGCTTTTTATCCAGCCGAAAATTTCCTGTTTAAATGCCCCTTTAGATATTCCGAGATATTTCTTTTTTTTTTTGTTTGAAAGTATTATATTTCCGTTTATTCGATAAGCAAAGTTTATTTATAGCGATTTATATTATATCCTGTAAAAAATGCTTGCTTCTTTGCTGAATTGCTTCTAGAAAAGATGGTTCGACCCGACTTGGCACTTTCGTGGCCCCAGATATTATTTATAGCGGTTACTAATGTTAAACAAGCCGATTAAATTTTGTATTAAAATTAATCATAACATTTTTTGAGTCGAAAGTTAAATAACTACGCAGATAAATATTTATTTCATATTAACATCCTACTACTACAATAAATATTTTAAATAAGAAACCAATTTGATTAAGTATTTATAGTATTTATGAAGGTAATTAATAAAATATACTCTTTCGAAGTCCTCATTTGTGAAAATAAATATACGTTTGACATTACAGTGCGAATCACCAAAGAACTACATCAACGCAATGAAATTTATTTAATGATTTCCCGCTCAATAAAAAAATCACGTCAATTTCTCACAAAACTAACGAACACGCACAAATTTAAAATATTAACACGTTACACGCCATGGGGGTTACCGGTGACCGGCGTTAGCGGAGGATTTACCTTCAACAATTTTTTATTGGCAGTCAAAGTCTTATGTACACATTGCTATAATTATTATATATTTTTGACAAGTAAGTTTCATACCAATATGGATGATTGGAAATTTCCCTTTTTTGTTTTTGTTATGATATAACATGTAAAGAGGCTGAATACTAATATTATTAACCTATTGAACGAAATTCGGTTCAACTAAAGTTTGAGACACTGGCACTGAAAAGGACATATGACGAAAATGCCGGGATTTCTGGGACAATCGCAGTTCCTGAATCGCGTTAATCTCCTGGGTGTTCCTATCTTTTTAAACTATTGAACGTATTTGAGTGAAATTCGGTACAACCACGACGTGACGATAGTTTGAGAATCGGAAAATGACGTCGGAGGGTTTTCAACCGCTGTACCGAGTTTTAATATATTAATAACAATACCTTAGGGATTGTTTAGTTTTTGAAATCACCAAATCGAACAACATTTCACAATAAATATAACTGAATCAATGCTGATGAGATTTGTTTCATACCATTGGAATTAATCTTGGAAAAGACTAATTAAAAAATTCTAAATTTGCCAGAAGTCATTATTATACGCAGACGAAGTCGCCGGGAACAGCTAGTGTATTATAAAATAAACACTTAACTACTTTAAGTTTTTAACATAACATAACATCACGCCTTTTTATTCTCGAAGGGGTTGACAGAGGTGCACATTACGGCACATAATGCCACTGTACAATGTAATACCCACTTTTCGCTATTTATGTTATGAGTCCCATGTAATAGAGGATGAGCCTATTGCCATGTACCCGGCACATTTCCAGATTCCGTGCTACTACTGAGATTATCAAAAACCCAGTAATACTTTGCCCGACCCGGGAATCGAACCCGAGTCGCACTTGCGACCACTCGGCCAACGAGGCAGTCATTTAAACTTTTTTTCTATAATTTTGATTCAGATGAAAAAAGTTACCCACACATTATATACACATATACATTTATTATAAATTGTACATTTTGATTTTATGGTACATAGGTACTGTGTAATTTCATATACCAGATATTTTCATTAATTAATTCTCGGTATCAAATAAAGTCTATAAAAATTCAAACAATTTAGTTCAGCTTTTATGGTATGCATGCAATTGTACCAATTGTATTTATTACCTTTTTTATTCTCAGTATTATTGAATTGTTTTCTCTATCATCTTTACTATAAAACTCCAAAACGTAGGAAATAAAATATAATAGGTACAGGTTTAAAAACAAACAGAATATGGGTGATTTTATGTCAGTGCTTACGCACAAGTAGGATAAAGCAACGCCAAAAATTTTTGGCTTAAAATCATTGTTCGCTTTGCCAAGAAGCAAACAGTTACCATTGATAAATATCTGTTATTCTCGTTTCCTGTACTCAACTGGTCTGCTGAACATGAACTATAAGTATTTAGGTTAGAAAAAATAAATACCTAAATTGCCTTAAACAGTCAAACACCGCGGTCACTGGTGACCGCTCGGCATCTCGGCAAGACTGGTTCGACACGTATGCGCACGCGCATCGGTAAGCGATCATCGGTAGCTATCGATAGTTATAACTATATTGATAATTAATGATGAGGGTTCAGTAGAGAGTTTTACAATTATCGACTATCGATGGAATTTCTATCGAACAACTGGTTATGTATTCCGTATAAAATGTAAATATGTATACATACACGCTGACATTTTAATGGTTGTTTTCCCGCAGCAAAACAATTTCCCTTTAGTAGTACTATCGAATAATGCAAGTTACTTTTTGAAAAAAATATTTTTTTTTCTCCTCATCTACTCAAAAAAATAATCATCAACTCGAAAGCATGAGAAACGATAGTTTCTCTTCTAAAATGTGACGTCAAATCAATGTTCATAGTAAAATAATATCTCGTACTAAGTAATACAGCATAAACTGCAATGCACGCGCGCGCGAGCGGATCGCCTCACGACAAACAACAAAGGCAACCACCGCGCTCTCTGTCACTCGCATCGGCTCGCACCGGCTCGCATCGCCTTGCATGGCTTTCATTCGCACCAGTCGCACCGCGAACGCCGTCTGCGCAACCACGCAAGCGCAATACAATATTGTTGCCGCCAAAATGGATCGCCATTACGTTTTTTCTAATGTGGAGTACCTACGTGGGCCGGTATAATAAACGGCTGCTTAATTGGTCCGCATTTTGTGACAGGACCGAACCGGTGAAACGTACCTACAAATGCTACGTAGTGTTATCCCGGACTTACTAGATGACATTCCGATATCAGTGCCCTGGGCATTATCAGCGCGCCGTGCGAGAGCACCTCGACTCGGTGTTTCCCCAGCGCTGGATCGGTCGTGGCGGGCCAGTGCCATGGCCACCACGAAGCCCGGATCTTACTCCACTAGACTTTTATTTGTGGTCTAGTCTCAAACGCCTTGTCTATCGGCAAGAGTACGAAACTCGCGACGCGTTAAAAAGTGCGATAGTGGACGCTTTTGATGTGATTAGACGTGTCAAAGACACATTATTAAAATTGAAAGCCAATCAGTTAAAACGTGCACGATTGTGTGTGGAACGCGGTGGCTTACACTTTGAACAATTGCTCCGTTACCGGGAAGTGTAAGTACATTTGTAAATAAAACAATAAGTTATGTGATTAAAATCATTGTAAATACCTACGTTGATTCCCATTTTTTAAATACGCCTTAAATACTTTCCCAAATTCAGTAATAAACAAGATAATATCTCTTGATTAAATTTTGTTTATGTTTGGGTTTAAAAAGTATTTACGACGTTCCTAAGCCCGTTAAAGTATGAAGGGAAAATGGAAATCACTTGTTAGTTAATACTGAGTTATCAGCCTTTTGATAAGCGCGAGCGACAATGACAGCGGCCGGTGGCCGTTCGCGGCGGTACTATTGGTTCGCGGTTTCTTTCAAGTTTCGTGTATCACTATCGTAAAACTGCTATTTTTTTATTTAAATTAAAACAACTTTCTCAATCTATTGTACTACTAAAATAGAATCATTTTACTGTGGGAAAACAACCATTAAAATATCACGGTGTATAAATGTATGTGGTGTATAGTAGAAATTAGAAAATTGAACCCTAGTTTATTGACTAAATATTATGTATATGGTAGAACCTTAGTTCATAGATACTTATCTTTATATTATTGTCTATGATTCCGGTTACGTGTCTTCGAGTGTTTTTGTTTTATGTATTGGTCTGAATAAAACTATATTTCTAAAGTTAAAACTGTTTATCCTCATTAAAATTAACATGTATGTGTATAGATTTGTTAATGTAAATGTGTTAGTTTTATTTTAAGATGTAAATAAATTACATAATTTGTACAGTTCCCTACATACGTATGACCATTATAGATATGTACTAATATAAACTAAAAACTATATGCTGAGGTGGAGGCCCTTTTGGCATGTGCACACGCACTACAATATTACTATGTATTATATTATTTGTGTTTAGTTTTTTTTGTATATTTAATTTTCTTTATATCAAAAACTTATTGCATTTGTTTTGTATTGTATGTAAATTATTTTGTTATATTTTGATGAATTTTTATTATGTATTTATGTAAGTATCTGTATATTTATTTTTCATAATCTTTGTTTGTGTGCCATTTGCCAAATAAATGCTTTCTATTTCTTTCTTTCTTTCAATAATAGGTATTTTTTGCTTCTTAGTTTTTACTTTTCGTTTGTTTTTGGGTTTTTGAAGTCGGGGTTTTTCATATATCCCAAAAATAAGGTATAATACCTGGGTTGTTATACCTGATCTGTATGCACCGTCACCTAATTCAAAACATATAGGGTTTTTTTAAGGTGGGACAATCATCGAATGACTGCTGCCGCCTGGGTGAGGCGGGAGGGAGTGTCAGACGTGTGTTCTTACTGACTAAAAACCACCCCGTTCCTACTCCTGCACTTCGAGCCGGAGCCAGAGCCGGAGCCCCGGTAACCCATTAGATTCTCCGCGCCTCCGTATCGGCATCAGCCCTATTGAGCCCCATCCGTAGTGGTCTGATGGCTCTTTGAGGCGCGCGCGGGACGTGACGCGCCGTACGCTCGGTCTGGTTGTGGTCGGGCGGCGAGCCACACATGCTCGCCGTCCGCAAGCCCGCGTTTATAGTGGCCGGAGATCGTCTCGCGATCCCCGACGCCCGCTTCCTCCTTAGCTAGCATGACTGCTTCGCAAAAGGAGGAGACGGCATAGAGATACGTTAGCATTTTTAGGCTTCAAAAATTTAAGTAGGTAACTATTTTTTTAACTTTTTAAAGTTGGTAACTATAAGTTGTTTTTTTAAGTATACTTAGTTATTTGGCGTACACCACTGATGCGTGTCCAAAGCCCATATATATGCCCCTGAGTTTTAATTCCCCACAAATTATAATAAAACAGCCTATGTTAATTACCGTCAATAATATGTTAATTTTGTTGCAGACGAATTAATTGAATGTAAAATTATTAAAACCCTATCAATATTCCGCGTGAACACTTAATTGAGCTCAATTGAAAAACAATAACTAGTTAAAAGGTAATTAATCTGCAGAACAGATTTATTTTGTTTTATATTTTACTGTGGTTGTAAATTCATAATAACAATTTAACCACAAATAGTACGTATTAAGCTTTTGTAGTGATTCCTTAATTGTGTGGTGATTCCGTAAGGGCATCCCGGGTCACGATCACAGGCAGTGGAGGAACGTCGCAATGGTTTTAACCAGTAAAAGTGTTCCCACGACGTGGAAAGTCCATAAAGTTCTTCATCGCGAATAGAAAGAAAAAATATATAAATTACGTTTAATAAAATCGACTGCAACCCCCTCTTTTTTGTAGTCGATTAATTTTTATACCAAAACCTTCTCCTAAGTGTAACAAAATGGGCTCACTGAAATTACAGCGGTAAGTCCGTCTTTGAGGAGTGGCTTGAAAGACGCTACGGCGTCCTCACCTACCGCCTGACGCAGGTCCCCACCGGACATGGAAGCTTCGGGAGGTACCTGTGTCTGATGGGGCGGGAGGAAACGCCCGGGTGTCATCACTGCGAGGACCACCCTGAGGACACGGTGGAACACATAGTAGGGAAATGAATGATTTGAACGAAGCGCTGCCTCCGTACAACTCAGCCGTCGCGAAGGATACTCTGGGCGTCAGGAATCGCGGGACGATCTCCGGCCATCGCCATGATTTTCTACCTTCAAAAAAGTGTTAAAAATCCCATCAAAATCTGTTCTGCCAATTGTGCACAAATATACAAAATTACAAACATACATACATACAGGTCAAATTGACCACTTCTTTCTTTTTTTGAAGGCACTTAACTCGTCGAGTACCGTCAATATAGACACAATTATAGAACAATAGGTTGCGGTCACCGGTGACCGCTTGGTGTTTGACAGTTTAAAAGAATGGATGGGGTAAGCTTAAATAATGCCAAGCACTCACACTCATGTGTTTGTTGTATTCGTGACTGTTTACAAAAAGGAGAAAATTATGGTTTTTTTATAATAACTTCTATTATTTGCTTCTTTGTTGTGGTCACTGCAAATGCTGTTACTGAGGATTGCGTGCAATTATCTTGTCGGAGAAGATTACATTATGGGATTTTCAAATGTGAAACTCTTTATTTTAGTAAGTTTCATAAGATTGGACCCGGTACATTGCAATATACCACGTACATTATTTCTTTTTATTTCTTCTTATTATTTCTTCTTATTAATTCTTCGACGAAGAATATGCGTATTTTTTATGAAAGTTCCTTTAGATTTCAGACTGGGAGTTTCCCTTCAAGAAATCCCACCACCCTGTATGCGTGTACGGTGGTCGCCGCCCACTGATGGTTCGTCTCCGACACTGCGATCCTGGAGTGATTGCGGGAACAGACATCTTCCATTACATTGCTGCTGAAGACTGCAGATGCAAGGTAACATAATACTGTCAATATTAAGAATTCCATAAGGATTTTTTGTATCCTTAAGCCTTTATAGAGGTAGGATCAATGGAGTCGACAAAGCACTGTTTTTAAAGACATGTAGAATTGTAGATGTATTGTAAATATTTATGTCCCTTCCTATCAGTTGACCCATAAGTTTGACACTTTAATAATAAAGAATATTACACTCATTTACGTATTACGCGAGGTGATCCGATAGAGAACGGAAGTTACCGACGTAGCCCAACGGACTAGCAAGCTGAAATGGCCGTGGGCCGATCACAATTATCGAAAAACCGATGACCATTGTTCTGGAGTGGAGACCGCGTCTAGGAAAATGTAGTGTGGGCGCCCTACAGCTAGGTGGAGTGACGATATCCGCAAACTGGCCGGTAGTGGTTGGTAGTGGGGTGCTGTCGGAGAGGCTTATGTCCAGCAGTGGACGAAAGCAGGTTGTTAATGATTACACTCATACCCATATACATATGTAAGTACAAGATACACAAGATACGCGCGAAAAACAATACCCTTCATTCAGTGCCGGTGAAGCAAAGAAACGAAAACCAAGAATCACAGTTGTAGGAGTGCCGTCTGCTTTATCCGTTGCTGATGTCCTCAGGTGCATATTAGAGCAAAACATAGCTGGTAAGTTCCAAGAGTTGACTATAGAGCCTTACCTAACCACTGTGAAGTTAAGTCACAAATCTGTCAGAAAAGACACGCCGACTTGTAATTACATCATTGAAGTTCCGGCCAACATCCGTAAAGCGCTTATATCGCAAGAAAGACTGTATATAAAATGGACGTCTTGCCCTGTCAGAGACTTTACGTTAGTACTCGGAACAATAACTCGTTAGTAACGCGTTGCTATAAATGTCAACAGTATGGCCACGCGGCAAAAACATGCCGGGAACTCTACTCAGTGTGTGGCCATTATTGATAAACAGGACATATGAACCGCTTGCACGAAGTAAATCGACTTCCCTAAGTGTTCAACATGCTCTGGATTCAACAAGCCCAACAGTCACAAAACAGGAGACGCAGAGTGCCCAGCCAGGAAGATAGCCGAACACAGATATATTAATTCCATTGATTATGAAGGCGCATAAAGTGACATACGCTAAGTCAAATTTCCAATTCGATTAGTCATTTCGTTTAGTTAGTTGTACAATTAATTGCATATTAACAGGTTGGCTTACTCAGCAATTTATTGCTGTGCAAGCACAATTGATCTAAAATTCTCCTTCAGGTAATAAAAAGCGTGATGTTATTATACATGTATGTATATAATATTAAACACTCCTACCTTCTGAAAATTGTGTTAAATATTTTAAATATCCTGTAAATAAGTTGTCTAGGTGTCTGCCACTGAGAGACTGTCCCCTAAAATTTAAATCGCTCGCGTTATTAGTTATCGAGATAACCACTCTGACGTCCGTGGATAGTACGGTATCCAAGAAAAAAGTAGCGTCATACGCCCATGGATACTATAGTATCCAAAGCGACGAGTTGTGTTTAATGCCCTCTAGTTTAAAATACGGTCTTGCTTGGTGAGTTTTGACAGATTATCTATACAGTTGAATAAATAGTTCGACGAAAAAAATAGAGATGGCAGTGTAATAAGCTTTGACAAACAAAATATAATTTTTTAAGTTCAGTTGACTCGTTTGACGCGCGTGTTGTGAAGTGTTTTTGTGAGTGCCAACAATTATGTCGTAAGTACTACAGTTTTGTTTTATTTATCTTGCAAGTGTTATACATCAAAATAAACTAGAAGATTTGTGCTTTACGATGATGTATAAATATCACAGTTTTAGCTGATAAATCTAGTCTACTTTTAACTTCAAACGATTGTTGTTTCGAAAAAAATGGCCGGTCGTATGGTGTCGGCTACTTTTAGTTTTGTTTATACATATTTTACATACTTTGCATTACAATAGTATATAAAATATCGAAATACATTTCGTAATAAGCAAAATAATACATTTTTCAAAGAGAAATATACTAAATTCACTGAAGATTCCATAATAATGTCAATGTGTTCCTCAGGTTTTTTGATGTGGACTGTTTGGTATCCACGGACGTTACATGAAACGTGATAAATAAGGTTCGCTATACACGGCAAAATATGTTTGCATTATTTTTGTTTTGCTAGTGGTGGTATAATATTTTGCTTGAGATGATACTAATATTTAATATAAAATGCACTTTTGGGTTTTGTACTAATATTCATCATTTATTTTTCGCTTGGTTTCCGTTGGATATGTATAATGTTCTAATGGTTTTTTTTTGTTTTGAAACATTAATTACATGTTTGTTCGTGTTGATTAATTTCCGCTAAATGTAAAAAAATGCACTTGTGGATTTGACTACCTTTCTTTTTTACTGTTGCCCTTGCACGTGTTGCATGGTCGCATATATTTTAATGCTTCGCCAAATTTTATTTTATTCTTTTAACAATACTAATGTTTTAAATTATTCATGCAGATCACCAAATGAAAGCTTTTATGTTGAGGGAAATGGGGGAACTAGGGGACGTGGGGGAAACAGGGGACGTGGGGGAAACAGGGGACGTGGGGGTCGCGGTGACCATATGGAAGTGTCTACAATGCGACGTCAATCTCTGCATTGAAAATTGTTTTATGGCTTACCATATATAAATGTGTGGAAAGAATAAATTATTATATTATATATTGATTTTTTTATTTGCTTTTTATTTAAATAACCAACTAGAACAAATAAACAACTTCAAAAATACAATTATTGCATAAAACTAATTCATAAAATTATTTAAAATATTTTATTAAAATTACATCGTGTGTGGGAAACCTTAGACGGGCGGCCATATTGCTATTATTTCGCCTTCTCGGACGAGTCAAGGGCGCTCGGGACATCGCGGTAAAATTACGAGGAGTAGTGTTTTGTTTTGATTTAATTAAAATACTTAGAGTTAACCGAATGTAATCGTATATACATCAGAAGAAAGGGTAATAAGTCTAGTTTGTTGTAAGAATATTTTATTGATAAAATATGCAATAGTTGTGCCTTAAATTCTAAAAAGGTAGAAATAATTGTGTATTTTTTTTCTGAATTACATGTTTAACCCGGTTTTTTGTATTAAAGATTATAACTTACGATTTAAAAAAATTGTTAAGATTGATCAGTATTCTTCAATCTTTTTTTTGGTATTTTTTTCTTTATTCTAGCCATTACGGTTCAGTAGCTATATAGGTTTTTTGTTACGACGAACTTGCGAGTCGCGCGCGGTTCGGACGCCGCGCGCAGCTGGACGTTAGAGAGATAAACGGTCGCGCGGCCCGGACGTTAGAGTGGATAATACAACTGTCGCGCGTTATGTGCCGTCCGGCGGTAAGGGACTAGCCCTTATTTATCTTGAAGCAGATTCCTAAATTCCATTTTTGGATTAGACAAAGAAAGACGCAATCATACTTTACTTAACACCGAAATCTAAACGAAACATAACACTTAGCAGTCGTGTCCCCTTAAAAATCAAATAGATTAAATCAGGAGCATTCTTAAAACAGCTAACGACGTCACTTAAGCCGGACTTACGCTTAACAAACGAAGGTACTGAATTATTTAACAGAAAACTTAATTACACTTTGGCTCGACTTAGAACTAGAATCAAGGAACTCATTAGTGACTTTTAAAGCGTGGTATCACAATGTCAATAGGGTGAAAGTTTTTTCTTCAAAAATTAACATACAAATGGTCGACCTTCTTGTTAGGTAAAATACGTAACTGTGTTTAGGCCTTTCTCACATTGGCATTGTGGTAGTGAAATTTTAGACAACGAATATTCAGGGTAGTCCAAATTCCAGTGATGTGCTAAACCTATATGTACGTACAAAATCAAGGCTGTGGTCCGACATATTTGTGTTACCCACATACCCACATTTATACCAGCGGTCACATGAGTGGCGGACTTATTACAACGCCAGTAGGTGTAATGATTTTAGAAATACACTGACATCCTGGCCTTTTGGCTCTTGACATCGTTTGATAACATACAAAAAATCGATGTGGAATAAAAACCAACTATTTATACTATATTTATTACTTTTTTTTGTAATAAGGATTCTATCTATCATCACCATCTTGTTCATCATCAGGCAGACTATTATATCTAGATACTTGTTCTATCGTGCCAAGTAAGTAGGTATGGTACAAAAATTCGGTCTTACTTTGAGCCACCATTATGTTCAAGGCCTTATAGTTCCAACAGTCACCGCGTGTCCACGACTTCGTGGTAACGCTACGAAGTTTGTGTTAAACTGGAAAACTAGTTGCTATTAGGCTAAATGTTCACCGGTATATTATATCGAAGTGGTTGTAGGAGACGAAACTTACACTACTACAAGTGGTGATTAAGATATGATCATGTTGCCAGTTCTAAATTCGAATAATTCGACATTGGTTTGTTTTTATCGAAGATCAATTCCTTGAAAACTGAATGTACGACGAATAAATACTTAAGTACGCCTTCTAAGAATTACGATGTTTTATATTATATAGGTAGCTAAATGGCATTTTCTCGTTTAAACAGTCTAATATTAGTACTCGGGAAGAATAACAAAGCAGTTACACTCCACCTGTACGCATTTAGTCTTCCTTCATTAAATTCAAAAGCGGGAACAAATTCCTAAGTACGTACATATTACAACAAAATAAATAACCGTAAACAACTTTTTATTTGGCTTTGATACAAGGGGAGAAAAAAAAGTAATAAAATTAGCACATAAATCGTAAATTTGTCGAATAAAACAAAGACCATATAACTCAAACGGGAAAACGTCGGTAAATTACCTATAAAATCCTTCCTTTGTCTTTAAATGGTTTGTATTTGTACGCTGGCGCACTTTTTACTGCATACAAATTTTTCAACCAACCTGTTTTATTGGTATAGAACAATTTTATATTAAGACAATTTTGTGATACATCAACAATAGTTCACTGCTAAACTTATAGCC